AAAACAAAACAACACAAAATAAAACTTTCAGGCAAAGGTTAAAAAGGGGGGCGGAGGAGGAAAGGAAACAGGATTCCCCTATTGGCTAAAGTGTAGCCATAGAAACACAGTAGCAATTAGAAACAGCTGAAGAGCTCCGCGCCCTGATTGGCTGGGTCCTTTTCCTTCGGCTAAAAAAAGGCAAAGGAGGCCTGCCTAGGAAGTGGCTCCGCCCCTTTCCAGCCTCAGCTGAACGGCCATTGGTTGGGAATCCAGGCCCCTCCTGGCAGAGCGCGGGTTTTTAAAGGGACATGCAGCTTTTTGTTCACACTCCTGTCTTTCTTTTCGTGCGAAAAATGCAATGTTGCGAAATCGAGGAGAGTGCATTTCAAATCAATACAAAGGTGGCACAAAGAAAAGGGACGAGGGGAGCCAAACATATTAAAGTTATATATTTTTAAATATTTTCTATGCAGATAGATAGATAGATAGATAGATAGGGAAAGTTTTAAACTAAATTAGATGCTCCTTTATTATTACATCTATCATTATTTATGTCATTAATTATATATAATGATTATATCTTTGTTGACTTTACTTGTTGACCTTATTAATACATTTAGAAAATAATAATAATAACAACAACTTTATTTATATACCGCCCTATCTCCCCAAAAAATGGCAAACATCCCATGCCAGAATACACAAACAAAGAGAAATACACACACACACCCTCCAAGATCCCAAAAGAAAATTCGAGTCTGGTGGAAGCTCCTTCTTTGGAAACTTTTAAAAAGAGGCTGTATGGCCATCTATCAGGGATACTTTGATTGTGCTTTTCCTGCATGGCAGAATGAGGTTGGACTAGATGGCCCATGTGGTCTCTTCCAACTCTATAATTCTATACTTCTCTAGAACAAGGCTCCCCAAGCTTTTTGTTATTTCAGGAGTTTTTGGACTCCAACTCCCAGAAGCCCCAGGCACTTTGGTTATGTGCAGGGATTCTGGGAAATGAAGTCCTCACGGTGAGGGAGGGAAAAAAGTAGAGGCGATTAAGAGGAACGACGGGGAGTGGTGTCCAATGGGAGAAGGTATGTTAATTTGAGGGGGGAAAGAGGCGTCTCTGATTGGTCGGCGGCAACATTCTAAGTAGTAGAGTTTGGGAGGGCTGGACGCGCGTGCGCTCCTCTCCCTCCCCCCCCCAAGGGGGCGGAGCCGAGGATCAAAAGCTGGAGGCGGGGCTTGGCGGGGGGAGGAGGGAGGAGAGAGTCGCGAGCCCAAAGCAAAACAAAGCTGAAGCGGCGCGAGGGAAGGCGAGCAACGGCCGCCCGCGAAGGAGGGAGACGGAGGGCGGGAGCATGAGGGGGCTTGAGGGAGTTCCGTGTGGGGAGAGAGGCCTCCGCGGCGGCAGGTAAGCCACGGACTTTCTCCGTCAAGTTTCCCGCTCGAGGGAAAGGGGGAAAGGGCTCTGAGTGGGAGACAAAAAGAGGAGACTTTTTTTTGGTTTTCCTCACAGAAAAGCGAGCGCGCGCGGAAGGGGGGGTCTTAAGAGAGGGGAGGGGTCCCGCTCGCCTTTGGCCGGAGGCGAGAGCCCTGATTGGCCCTTTCCCCACAGCACGTGACCCTCAGAGGGGGGTATTTAAGAGCCGGCCAGTGGCGCGCGCGCGCCTATTTGCTTCTCTCCTGCCAGGAGCGACGGGTGGGACCTCCCCTGCCGTCCAGACTGGGCCTGTCCAGCCCAGAGGCTCGGGCCTAGCATTCCCCCCGCCCCGAAATATCCAAACCTCGCGTTGGACTTGAGGGATTGTTAGATTCGGATCATCCAATCCAGCCCCGTCTTGCCTTCACAAGCAAAACAATCCTGGTGTTGAAATTGCTCCTCTTTGTCCTGCAACGGTGGGTCTTAGGACTGTGGCCCTTATTTATTTATTGCATTGTTACCCCACTCTATCTCAACCCTGGAAGGGACTCAGAGCGGCTTCCTAAATTGCCATAATTCAATGCCACAATAACATAAAAACATACAAATTACAATATGCATTGAGCATTAAAGTCATGGAAACCATAAAACACCAAAATATAAATACATTAAATAAGCTGTTAAACATTGTACATATACCTGAAATCCTAATCCAGAAGCCATTTCAATTACATTCCATTCACTTTGTAGCGTCATGTTGCCTTACACTACTCTCCAAACGCTTGGTTCCATAGGTTTTAACTTTCTTTCTAAAGGACAGAAAGGAGGGAGCCAATCTGATTTTGTTAGGAAGGGAGTTCAACAGCTGAGGGGTCACCACTGAGAACGTCCTGTTGTTCCCTACTAGCTGCACCTGCGAAGAAGGTGGGACTGAGAGCAGGGCCTCCCCAGAAGATCTTAATCTCCGAGCTGGTTCAAAGGGGAAGATGGGACAGGTAAGCTGGGCCAGAACCATTTGCAAGCAGTGGTTCTCAACCTCTGAGTCCTCGGGTGTTTTGGCCGACCACTCCCAGAAATCCCAGCCAGTTAACCAGCTGTTAGGATTTTTGGGAATTGAAGGCCAAAACATCTGGGGACCCACAGGTTGAGAACCTCTGGTTTAGAGCTTTATAGCAGTGGTTCTTAACCTATGGGTCCCCAGATGTTTTGGCCTACAACTCCAAGAAATCCCAGCCAGTTTACCAGCTGTTAGGATTTCTGGAAGTTGAAGGCCAAAACGTCTGAGGACCCACAGGTTGAGAACCACTGCTTTATAGGCTAAATCCAGCACTTTGAATTGTACTCCGTAACAAATTAGCAGCCAGTGGAGCTGACGCAGCAGAGGGGTTGTGTGCTCCATGTATGCCACTCTGATGAGCAGTCTGGCTGCTGCCCATAGGACTACTTGGAGCTTCCAAACAGTCTTCAAAGGCAACCCCACATGGTTAAAATGGCTGCAAACTACTGGCATTTTGTGTGACTCAAAAATGCCTGAACCTCTCAAGGCTAAGATCACACTACCGTTGTTCACCCAGTAAGAGTGCTGGCCAGCAACAAATAAACACAAGCAAGCCCTGAACACAATAGAAATTAAAATGCTGAGATGGACACTTGGTTTGACACTTCTTGACCATGTGCCAAATGAGGACATCCATCTGTCAAAGACTAGGAATAAAAGCGATCAGCAAGAAAATGCAGGAAGCAAGACTATGGTGTCCCGTCCATGTCATAAGAAGAGAACCAACATCAACAGCACAAACAGCACTGCATTTGGAGATTGCGGGATGGCAATCACATGGACAAGAGCCAGAGGAAAGGTGGACAGACACCATCAATGAAGACGTGTGTTGCCAACCTGAGACCTGAGGATGCCCAAAACAAAGCCCTGTGAAAATGACAGTCACAATACTAACCTCTCCATTGGGAAAATAGCATAGAAAAAAGGACAAGTTGGCGAGGGCTTCTGGGTGTTGGAGGCCCACAGGTTGAGGAGGCCTGCTCTAGTATCATGAAGTCCTTTTGTTGAAAGAAGCTTGCCCCTTCCTCCTCAATTTGAAATGGTATTGAAAATGTATTGAAATGCTTTGAATGTAAGCCAATTTGAGTCTCCTTGTGGAGAGAAAAAAGCAGAGTACAAATAATAATAATAATAATAATAATAATAATAACAACAACAACAATGGGACATCCTTTCTAATCCTTACATAAGGCTGTCATGTCCCATCCTCTCCACTTTCTCCACTCCTCAAAGGGCTTCGTCCTATAAAGATGCCCCCTGTCCATAAAAAGGGGGCTCATTCAACATTCCTTCCCTGCCATAGCATTTTCTTAAGGAAAAGGGGATGTCGAACATTGCCCTTTTGCTCACCCAACTGCCTCAGGTGAGAATGAATGGTGTAGTCTCCTCCTCTGCAGGTTTTGAAGCAGAGGCTGGAAGGCCAATTTTTGGGAGGGCTTTTATTGTGTCTTCATATATGGCACAAGGGAATTGAACTGGATAGCCCAGGCATGAGCAAACTTTGGCTCTTCAGGTGTCTTAGACTTCAACTCTCACAATTCCCAACAGCCAGTAGGCTATTAGGAATTGTAGGAGCTGGAGTCCAAAACACCCCCCCCCCCGGAGGGCCAGAGTTTGCCCATGCCTGGGATAGCCATTTGGGGTGTCCTCCAACTCTAGTATTCTAACACTGATAGCCATAACTTCATGATTTTTTTAAAATCATATCTAGCATGGTTGCAGAAAGGTAGACAAAAGTGATTTATAGCTAAATTCAACAACCCTCCTTCAGAGAGATTAACTGCTTTCAAACCTTGGCCCATTTGGGTTGCCGTTCTCTGGATGCTTTCCGACCTTTCTTTTCTTGTGGGGCCCAAAGCATGACAATTATTCCAGGTGGCCAAAGAGTTGGAACAATGACTTCCTTCCATCTAGACATTAGACTCTTATTGTTTTCTGCTGCCCTGGAGACTAGGAATCAGTGGAGCAGTGGGTTCAAATAACAGGAAGGGAGATTATACTTGAACATTAGAAAGAACTTCCTGAATGTAAGCGCTGTTCAACAGTGGAACTCTGTGCCTCAGAGTGTGGCAATAGCTCTTTCTTTGGAGGCTTTTAAACTGGCTGGATGACCATCTGTCAGGGGTGCTTTGAATGTGCTTTTTCTATGGGGAAGAAGGGGATTGGATTGGATGGTCCATGTGGTCTCTTTCAACTCTATGATTCTATACATGAAGCCTAGAATTTGAGCCATGCAAAGGCTCAGAGGGGCAGTTAAATACTCAACACATGTTCAGAGGCACATTGGTAGTGATGTCGACTTTGTTGCCCCCCTCCCCCACCTGCATATTCTTTCTTTTTCTGCTTTCGAAGTTTTCTTTCCAGCACCAGTTCGGTTCCTTCTTGTGTCGGTTCCTTCTCTTTTTTCCCTTTCATGGTTTGCCTGGCATTCTCTGCCTCCAGGGGTGGCCCCAGTCTGGACGAGGAGGAGGAGCTGGACAGCCCCCCTTGCTTCTCCGTCCTTTCCGTCAGAAGGAGGTCCCTCCCTCCCTGCCTCCCCCTTATTTCCCCTGGAGGGAGGCCGAGACAAGCTCCTTGAAAGCCAGAGCAGCCTCACTAGGGTCGCATGAAAGCAGAGCCTTTGGCTGGACTCTTCTGCTTCGCCCAGGTCCCGGCTTGGAGGATCCCGGCTGTCTTTGGCCCAGGCTGGTGCGTCCCTCCTCTCTACCTTTCTTTGACGCAAAAGCTCCCTTTCTGCCCACTGTTTTGTCTCTTACTGGGGCAAAGGCAAGACAAAGAAAGGCCAAGAAGGAGATGCTGGGGGCTTCACTTCGCTTTGAGTGAAGACTGGATTGATTCCAAAGCTCTGAGTAGGTTATGCATGTTATCATAGAATAATTCTGTTATATTTATGCCTCAAAATGATCTTGAATATGTAGTAATGGGACACAACAAGTGATTGGTTAACTTGGTGCATTTTAGGAAACTTTATAATATTCAGCTCTATGCATACATATTCAAAATTAAGTTCCATTGTGTTGAGTTGAACTTGTTAAAACTGCAGCTGTCTTTGTCTTTATGTACCTGATGTTCACTGGTGGTTGATAGTGAATATGATAATGCAAGCAATGGGAATCATGAATGAAATAGCAGTGGCAATGCATACAATTCAAGTGATTTGTTGCCTTCATTATTGTCAGACAATGTCTGCCTGTGGCTAAGGGAATAGGAAAAGATCTAGCGCGTGCTGATCTTGTTCTCTTTCAGCTAACATGCTTAAGTATTTGTTGATACATCCGGGTGCTGAGGGAAGACAGCCCACGGTGCTGAAGATTGGCTGCTGCTGGACTGCCAAATGTATGCCTTAATTCAAATGATGTCATGCTGGTAGGCAGGAAAGCAAACGTGCCATACATTCGGTGTATGGGTTTTAAGGAAAATAATTTAATTGTTTCTCTATTGCCAATTTTACCTGACATACTCACTTGCAGGGAGTTGTCAGTCAAAATTGTACAGTTGCTAGAGAAAACTGTACCTCACACTGCCTTGAATGGGATTTGTTTTGTTTAAAAAAGTTCTTTCTGACTTTGGAAATCTTTTGCCACATCAGATTTGTTCAGCACACTATTCAGGACATTTAGAATTGTGGGAAACAAACTTATCTTGATGACTTTTTAAGCATTTACAATAAATGCTATTGTCTAAAGGAACAGTGGATTATTTTTTCACAATGTTAATGAGGCACTCGGTCATGATGGCTTTTTGTATATATGTAGTGTATCTTTTGTTATCATCTCAGCACCTTGGCTGATTCTTTTATATAGGAAACCACCAGGTGGGCAGGTGACTGGTGGGAATATACACTGAGTGAGAGTATTCTTGTGTTAGTATATTGGGCTAAATGCCTGTATGTTGCTCAGTTCAGGAGTTGTCCTTCTTGTGCATTTGAACTAAATGTGAATAACACTGCCATTCTAGTCAGGCAGCCCTTCCTGCCCTTTCTATAGCCTGTTTCCTTACAAATCTAGTTCTGAAGCACCCTCAACTCAAAAGGATCAAGTGGTGAAGTATCACCTACAGCTCTGGTCAGATCCTTTTATTCTGTTAAGCTTTACTCATAGTCAAGAAGCCCAGGTGCCCTTTCAATTTCATTCCTCAGGTTCTTTTATTCTGTATCAACTTGAGTCTACACAGAATCATTTCGCCTTTGGCCTCTTTGTGTGTAGTCCACAATTGCCCTGCAGTCTAGGCACTTGACTCTCTTCTTCATTGTGAGGCTTAATGTGGACATCATTTATCAGACAACTCCGAGACCTGTCTTCTACTCTGGTACCTTTCTTGGGGTATCTTTTTGTTTGTTTGTTTGAACTACCCAGTTCTGATAAACCCAGTGAGATTAATTGTTTTTTCATACATATATAAAGCTTCCTGCAATGGTTGCTTCTCCTCCTGATGAAACTTGTATAATGTCTTAAAATTCCGCATCTGTTTATGGCTCAGCCGAAGTGCACTGTGAATTTAGATGCTCTTGTTTTGTTTCATTGCCTATCATGCCACTGGGCTTCTTGTTATTAGTACATGATCACAGCCATTAGATTTATAGCTAGCCTCTTGGGATCTGGGGTTACTGCCCCATCTCATAGTGAGTTGTTGGTGCTCATGAGTTGTTAACTCCAAATCCAGTGGGTGAGTTACTTAGTGAATAAGCTTCAAACCTATGGGATTGTGTTGAGGGCTTTGCAGGAGCCAAACAAAGCTTGCCCTCCTTTTTATCTTGAACAACTCTCTTGTCCTGCCCCTCTTTGGGTTTGTTAGTTCTCTCAAATTGATTGGAATTCTAGGAGATATTCTTCTCCAAAGTCCTGCATCCCAAAGTTTACCGTGTTCAGTCATGTGAGGCTTAGCTTTGGAGTTTCCACACTATCCTTTCTGCCCCAAGAGCACAGCTCCTGTTGGATGCCTAAACCCTTTGGTTGTTTCTACATTTTTTTCATATAGCATTTATGCTCCTTTTTTAGTTTGTAACCAAAAATCCATGGCAGCCAAGGTAGTTTGTGCCTGCTGTGAGTTTGCAGGTGACCAAGCAGAAAGAAAGTATCGGATTCCCTTTTCTGAGTGCTCTGAGTTATTCTGAAACATTGTAGATCTATCAGTTCTGATGCTTGCTTTTTTTTCCAGCTGTAAAAACCTATCCTCTTGTTTGTCCAATCTTGTCTCACTGAGCCTTAAACAGGTATTCCCCATAACTTCCCACATTTCTATCCTTTTGCCCAGTTTCTGTTACTTGCTGTCTTTGATCGGCAATCAAACTTTCTTATTCAGACAGGTTAAAAAAATGTATGGCTTCCCCCTTTTTTCTTTCTTCTTTATTCCCTTTCCCACTGCCCTCTATCTTTCAAATTTCCTACTTTTCTCTGATTATAATGTTTCCCCACTTTCAGTGTAATTTAAAAAAATATATAAATTTTATGTTTTATTTTTTGGTTGATTTGCAATAAAAATCATTAAAAATGTGTGGCTTTTAAGAAAGGTCTGCAAATGGATGCTGTTGTTTCAAAATGTGTTTTTAAAACTGTTTTATAATTTTAAAATGTTTAAAATTGTTTTGATAGTGCTATATTTTAATGCTATGTTACATGCTGAATTTTTGCATATTATATTGTAATCATTTTTTCATTCCTAAGCCACCTAAGCCTGCTAATACCACTTAAAATATTAATCTCCCTCTGCTCCTTTCAAAATAACCAACCTGGGAGAAGTTTTGAAGACACTGTGGATAAAGCCAGGGAAAATTTGGTGATCCCTCCCCCTAAAGTGTAAACAGGAGCATCATGGGATTGGCCAAGGAAGGATGAAAGGGGGGTGTCTTAGCTAACAGTTTATTTTAGCATAGACTAAAACTTCTCTTAGAAATGCAACGTGTAATAGTTTACATGATCTGAAAAGACTCCCAGTGGTGCTGACATTGATAATATCTGACAGTTCTTCCAGAGTGTGATTCAAATGATAAAGCATCCTGATCACAATGAAATCCAAGAAAAATGTAAATGTGAATGGGATGTGGAACTATGCGTGGGTGAAAAAAGCAATATAATTGGTGTGATAATAACAAAATGGTTCTGAAATTATTTTGAGGTGGCCTTTTAGGTTGAGATGTGGAGGCCTGGGGAACACACACACACGCACACACTTTTTATAATTTTGGTTGGTTTAATAAAAACATTTAAACTTTGCACACTGTAAAAAAAGTGGATGAAATCCTTGAAACTTGGAGGTCTGTATGTAAGACTTAGTAAAATATACAATATAGACACAGATGCTTGACTCCAAGGTGAAGATGGGTACTGGCACCCTCATGAGAATACTTTACAATGTGGCCTTTGTTGCTCCTATAATAGTATTCTGTTGAAGAGTTCAGTATTTTCAGCGTTGAGCTAAACCTTGTATCCAAATATGCTGCTAGCTTAGTCAAATTGTAACTGCATGAAACTGTTTCTCTTCAAATAAAAGACCATATTTGAATTACATAACATGGGGTTTCTTTTCCCATTGTTTCCTTCTCACACAGTGCTACATATGGTAAGATACATACTACATAGCATACAAGATACATACAAGATGCATATGCTGAGTTGCATAGAGTGGCAGCAGTATTGCAGCACTAATATAGCATCTGCTAATACAAAATCAGGGTTTTTAAAATACTAAAGTGTAATAAATATGCCCAGTAGCACACTTTTATAATCCAAGTAGCTATGACTAAATCATGTGATGATGCTAAGCAGTAGGATCAATTTATGTTGGATATGACAATAAGCATATACAGGCCATCCCCAAGTTATCAACAACATTGTTTCTGTAGGTTTGTTCTTAAGTTGAATTTTTTAAGTTGGAACAGGGACATTTTAAAAGTGTAACTCCAGCTAAAGTTTTGACTAGCATAGGGAAGGGTTAAGCCTCTTGTGGTAGTTCCTTTGCTTCCTGTGCCCCAGTTCAGATTTCACCTCACTTTCTGTCCCTATGATCATTGAATTTTGGAAAATATGGCTTGTTGTGGAAAGGATTGGTGAGAAAGCTTCAGTGGATACCTCTTTCCCCCATTATAATAAAGTTTTTAGGGGTGGATTTCCCTTTAGAGGGGTAGATTTCTCTCAGCCCCATTTGTAACTATGAGTTGTTTGTAAGTCAGATGTTTGTAACTCAGGGACTGCCTGTATTTCAATTTCTTGTTAATTTTTTCCTGAAAAAAAAACCATAGGAAATTTTTTTGTATGACTTTAAAATTCCCAGTCATTTTATATTGCTACATACGGTTTTCTAGATATGGTTTTGTCATCCTTCTGTTAACTAGCATGGTTTGCACATTATTGGGAAACAGCTTTCTCAATTCTAAATCAGCTAATGAAACTTTGTTGAGCTTGCAGTATATAAAATGTTACAGCCATAGTAATCTTACCTCAATTCAAATAGCTCTTTGCAGCAATGAGTCCACAACCAAATGAACCCTAAAAAGAGTAAAGTTTCTCAGCAGGAACTGCAGCTGCAAATTAATCCCACTTTGGAGGTGTTCTTGTGACCCCCTCTGACCTCCGATCAGTCTGGGTTTTGCTGGAGATAGAAGCCTGGTTTCTGTACTTTCTTGCCAAAATTGTCAGGTTACATGTTTCTGGCCCCTTTTCCATTCTCATATGTGTTCAACTCCACTGGGCTTACCTGAAATACTGGACCAGAAGCAGGTTTTTGTGATCAGCAAATGCTGTTCTTAGTGCCATCTGATACATTGACTGTGGGGAAAGTGTCCCTGCTTCATCTCCCTGGTAATTGCTATCCCAGAAGCAGGCTATATATATATATCAAGGGTCCATCATCCACATGGAGAAAATCCCTTTGAAAGGATTGCTCTTCGGTGTTAGGGACCATCTAGCCCAGGCATTCTCAACCTGTGGCCCTCCAGTTGTTTTAGTCTTTAACTCCCAGAATTCCATTGAACAAGCTGGCGAGGTCGTTTGGGAGTTGGAGGCCCAAACAGCTGGAGAGCCGTAGGTTGAGGATGCGATCTAACCTTATGAATTCTCAGAGGATAGTTCTTCAGTTCACTTAATGGTGACCCTTTCCCCATTTGGGATCCTAAACCAAGCACCTGAATTAACTAATATAGGGAGAAATCTTATAGGTCATCTAATGTGCATATTTGTTGGAATCTTCTGTTGATGGTGAGATGGACAAGGATGTGTGCGTTTGGAAATGTATGCTGTTAAGAAGGCTTGGAGAATCTGATACACTTTTCCCCTTTTGTTTCAGGTTTTAACTGTTTCTTCTGTGGCGTTTGTGTGGGTCGTGCCACACACACTCCAGAACAACAACGGCTTTTGCTTGCATTTTCCAGTGTTTCTTTTGCCAGCGAGTTCAGCAAAGTTGTAATAATACTTCAAGTGCCAGCCCTGACCAGAGTGAGGCGCCAGCGACAGAGATGGTAAAGATGACAAAATCCAAAACGTTTCAGGCCTATTTGCCAAATTGTCACCGGACATACAGCTGTATCCACTGCAGAGCCCATCTAGCCAATCACGATGAGCTGATTTCTAAGGCAAGTGGCTTGTCTCGACATCTCATGAGTGCATTATTTGTTGCCTGTTTTGTAAACTATTGAAGTCCATCAATAGCGATGTACTTGAAGACTCTGTTGGAAATACTTATTACGTTTACGTAATTTTTGTTGCTGTCTAGGTGCCCCTTGAAGAATGTTTGGACTCTGCCAGGCCACAGCTAAGTGTTCTGTTTTGTAAAAGAGAAAGTTTCCATCAAAGTAAACCACAATTCTCAGGGCTGGTGGTTACTTTGGCCAAACTTAAGTGATATTACCTAACATCCCAAAACAAAAAATGCCTTCTTCTAATAACCCAGGCATCGCTGGGTCCCAAAGCTAGTTATATATATTATCGACTGAAGCAGAGTCTAAATAGCCTAAAATGATTTGAAGAGGTAATTTTACAGATGAGATGCATATCTGGTTTGTATGGGAGGGGAAACAAGGGAGTTCTTAGTGTGATGGTTTTTCTTTTACTTATTGAGTTCAAGCATTCCTGGTGGAACATGTTCTTGAAGACTGCTGTTTATATAACTTTTTGTTCTTCCTTCCTTTATCTCTTCTTTTAAGGACGTAGTTAGCAACTGAGAATCAGGGTCCTTCATTGAGATCTTTGTAGGCAGTTATCCTACAGAAATAATGATAAGAATGTTTTTCCCCCTTTTGTTCCTTGAAATAGAGGGAATTTTATCACTGTTTTCTTTCACACTTATTTGAATTGGATTGCCTCTCCATCATCTGCATGACATAGGAACTCTGGACTTCAGGAAGATAATCTTTTTCATATAATCCATATTCTTCCTCCCAGCATTGAAGTTTAAATGTATGTAGTCAAACTGTTGCAGTTTACATACAGATCCTGGCAAAGATGCATTTACTAGTAGGTTAAATGTAGTTACGGTCCTGGTTCATCAAAGGAAATAAAGACTCAAGAAATCTGGCTTCTCTCTTCCCCCCCCCCCCCAATTGTTTACCAAATTTAGGAAAAATATTTAAACCCTATAAGCCTTCAAGAAAATTATTATTTTTTGCAAGTTAAAGTGTTTTTGCTTGCTATTCAGACAAAAGCATTATATATATTCTGAATAAACTGTCTGCCACTCATACAGAGCTTTTCAGATAGACAGTTTGTCTAATATCTACCTCCTTGAATTGTTAACAAGCGTTGTATACAGTTGCTGACCATTTGTTGCCTACATTGTGTGGGATTTGCCCATGTCATTAAATATTGTAGCACCAGTTAATATTATTTTGAGAAGGAAATGTGATGATTTCAGCCAGACTTGTGAATCTTGCCGGTATTTAATTTTCAAGTTGAATACATTTGCAAGTCAGGGATAGAGTGGGATGTGAATGTATTGGATTGGACTGTTTCTGAGACCAGTGCAAGAAGCTGAGTCATGGTTGCCCTTAAGATAAATCCGGACAATTCCGAGTTTGCAAACTGTGTGCAGGAGTAATGAGAATGACTCCCACAAATGAAAATGGAGAAGGGGAGACCTAGTTCCCAGCATGTCTTTGGCCTCAACAATTCAGGTGTGCCTTCTGGAGTCCACTTTTCTACAGTAGTGGATCCGGGACAAAAGATTTTATAAGAATGTCTTCCAATACTCATCATACCTTTGATGTATGAATGCCATACTGGGAAACTCTTCAAAAGAGAGTTATAGCAATATACATTCAATCACTTCGTTGAAAGTAATATTGCTTTTGTATACAAATTATGTAAGGGGCAGATGTGGCTGACTGAGAATGTGATATTACTGGTCTTATCCCAAGTCCTACTGTCTAGACTAAATAACAGGTCAAGAGCTACAAGAGAGGCACTATGTATAGCAGTCATTTTTACATTTACTTTTTATTTCTCTTTAACAACAAGGCTGGTCTACTTCACTTAAATGATGAATAGTACGAAGCCTGCAGAGTCCATTTCCCTGAAATAAAGCGATATTATGGAACAATTAGCATTAGCACAATTCTCATGATGTGTTATAATTTTTTTTTTAAAAAAAATCTCCATATGGCTGTAAGCCACAGATGAGAAGCATTACGTCTCTCTTTCCCACCTATAACTGAGCATGAATATTTCAGGACATTGGGTTGGTTGCAGACTTAGTCATACAAAGGACAGACTTGTTGAAATCAAATGGGACTTAAATTAGTCATAACTAAATTAACTCACAGTGCTATTAAGGGTAACATTAGGAAGAAAACTGATTTGCAATCTGCTCTGAACCTTGCTGCGAGGGGGGCGATCAAATCTAAACAAATTAATATTGAACTGGTGCTGCCTTATGGAATAGAATAGCATTTAACATCTGTGTTCTGCACTCTCTTTTGGCCTACTGCTGTTTGGCAGCTATTGTCATCATTATTCTTCAGTAGTGATGAATCCTGGAGAGTCTAGGTAAGTGGTGTCAAAATGTGTGGCCCTCCAGATGTTTTGGGCTTCAGTTCCCAGAGTTCCTGACCATTGGAAAGCTGGCAAGGGGTCCAAAACATCTGAAGGGCCACAAGGTTGACACCTCTGGTCTAGGAGGATGCTTTGGTAGGAAGGTGCCACTGGTTATAAGGTGGCTTCTAGGATGTAAAGCTGGTACAGATCCCTGTTTTTACATGTGGTGCTTTTTCTAAGTAGCTAAGAATTTGCATCTGAAGTAAGATCATCCAGAACCATAGATGAAAAGTAATGATAAGAACCAAATCACAAAACACAAACACACCAGTCAGCTGTGAAAGCAAATTATGAATTAGAGAAGTCTGAGAATTTGATGATGGTACATATACGATCATGAAAATCAGTGTTAATGAAAATAGAATGTGATATTTCCATGAATTATACAAATAGCATATTTTAATACCTATTTTATTACTTTGCATAACTTCATTGCTAAATTCTTGAAAGTGTCATGGTCACACACCATCTCTTCTGTAACTGTAGTGGTTTTGGGTCTCCACCCAGAGAGAAAAGCAGGATGATGATGATGGCAGCTCACTATTTGGAAGTAACTGCTACCTTCACTTTCAAAGTACTATTTATCCAGCTAAACCCACAATTCCCATTAAGCTTTCTCCAATAGTGTTTGAAATTCTGACTCCCCATATATGTAAATACTCTTTTCTCTCTACCAAACTAGATACTAACCTCAAGTACTAATTTCCAGACCAGCATGTATATACCTGCTGAGGAGGTGTAGATAAAATATGAAATTAGTTCCATGCCATTAACCTTCTTGTTCAGCCTCCCTTAGCTGAGATGCTCATTTTGGTCCATATTAATGTGCACAATTTTGAATGTCAGGTGTTGTGTAACCAGATCTAATGTACATCAGCTTTAATAAACCTCTGTCTCCATTCTCATAATAATGATACAATTTCCCCTTTTCCCCCTTTTTGTAATGGGAATGTCCAATATTATAGAGGACAAAGATTTAAAAGTAGTTCCCCAGCAGTATAATTTTAAAAGACTTTAGAAGATATGATGGACACACAAAAACAAACAAACCAGTCCAGTATTTCCCTCATTTTATTTTGCAGGGAAATATGTAACCCATTGACAATTTGGATATTGATAGCATTGTGTATGTTTCTACTTTGCATATGACATAAAAACATGCCATTTTGTATCAAAATTGGGCAGGTCATGAAGAGTCGGAAACAACTGAACTAATGAACAACAAATTTATTTAAAACATTTATATTCCGCCCTTTTCACCCCGAAGGGGACTCAGGGAGGAGCACAGCATATATACGGCAAGCATTCATTGTAGCATCAGACAGGTATATTTTTAAAGTTCTGTCAAAGGGACATTTCCCATGGCAGTTTTCCTGCTTAGCTTGCAAAGTCTGTTTTGCAGATCAAGTTAATATGTTTAGTTGAAATGCAAGGAAGTATACAATCTATACTTGACAAGTAAACGGATACAAGAATATCCTTGGGAATGTTTCATCTTCCTTAGGAATGTCTTCTCTCTCTGCAACATTTTAGCCTGACTTCAGCACAGAAAGCTGACAAGATTTCCCCCCATAGTTAGCAATGTATCAAGTACAGGGATTGCCATGTTTGAAAAGAAAAACAGTGATTTAGTAATAACTTATATAAATGGCACATTTCTGAACCACTTATTACTGTACTAAATAGAAATTGAGCAATCGCTGGATCATAATTTGCCTCATATATGTTTCGTTGATAAGCGGGTGCTTGATTGGTACCAGGAAATATTTTGTCCAATGTTCCCATTTAGTCCCTAACAAATTGCCTATTTCTTTTCTTCCTCTGACACTTCAACATTTGAACAGTTGTAATTTGTACATGTCTCTTATTCATTTGTTAACCCAACGCATGGTCATATTACACCCAACAGGTTCAATGAAGAAAATGCAGCCCGTCATCCAGATAGAGGAAATCGGGCTGCCAAGGGCTCATTTACACTGTAGAATGAATGCAGTTTGACCCCACTTTAATAGGCCATGGCTCAGTGTAGTGGGATCATGGGAGCTATGATTTTCCAAGACCTTTACCCTCCTCTGCCAAAGAGTGCTGGCAACTCACTCAACTACAAATCCCAGCATTCTGTAGCATTGAGACTCCTGTTGGAGCCACAATCAATTGAATGGTTCTACCCTATTCAGGACTAACAGTAGGATTAATGTTCAGCTTCCATTCAACTCAGCATGGTCAATGGCTGGGATTCATGGGAGTTGTAGTCTAAAATATCAGGAGGGCACCAGGTTGGGCAGGGCTTGTTAGAGTTTGGACTAGGACCCAGAAGACCCAAGTCTAAAACCAGATTTTGCTATAAAGCTTTTACTGGGGAGGATTGGGTCAGTTCCTGTCGCAGCTCTGATCTTCCTGATAAAAGGAGAGCTGTGTTCAGTCAGATCAAGCATCTGTTGCATTTCATAGTCTCAAACTGAACTCCTTGGATGAAAGTCTAGATAATACTAATTAAAAGCAAGAGATTGGTAAATGCATGGTTATGCTTTGTCACCAGGATGACTTAGATGGCCCAGTCCAATTCTATGCCAAGACATTTCATGCACAAACCAAGCTCCTCCAGGGTTGAAGAAATACACTTCATAAATGGTAATATTCTAAAACCAGTGACAGTAAAGGGAAATCAGAGACGTTCCACAAGCACCTGTTCATTAGGAGCCTAGCTCTGAAACGATCTATTTCCAACAGGTTTGCAATGTAATGGAGCTGGCCCACTTCGCAAAGCCATACATTTTCTGATTATTTCAAGTCAGATATTCTACAGTTACATCTGTGTCCCCTTTTTGCCTAATGAAAATGCTGCTTTGACTGAAAGCAACATGCATTTCATATGATAGCCTGTATAAACGTGCCTGTAAATCGTATCTCTGCATTTGCTGTGCATTCAGCCGTCTTGACTTAAGACAAACAAATGGCAAGAGTGCTGTTGGCCACAGAGTGCCCTTAGAAACCATTTGCACATTTTGCTGTCTTCATTTATGAAACAAGCTAAAGGGAATAAAAGGAGATCAAATAAATGAAAGAGAAAAATGAGGGCCCAAGAGAGAAATGAAATTCAATTACCAAGAGGCGGACTATTGAGTGCTCAATGTATTTTCACAAACCATTATTTCATTTTTGTCTCAATAATCCTGCAAGTCAGGCCATTATTGTTCCTATATTGGCAATGTGAAAGGCAGAGGCAGGGCGAATGCCAGGTTGGATTGCTTGATGTTGAATATTGCATAGCCAGATAGTGGCCTTCTACACCATTTTCTTCTGCATTGCTCACCATTTTGATATACCATGCTGTATAGGTCCAGGATAAAGAATGTGTGGCTATCCAGATGCTGGACTGCAGCTCCCGTCATCCTTTTTCACGGAATATTGATGAGAACTGGAGTTCAGAATCAACTTGGAGAGCAATGTTTTCCACCTTTGCCTTGGGCCAAGGTTTCCGCATCATAAAACAAAAGGAGAACTGTTGCTTAAAGAGTAAATGTGACTACATTTTCATGGATTATTCTGAAATGTATCAATTTAAACATTCAACTTGAATGTGGATTACAAAAGAAAAAAAATCTAATAGCCCTTTATTGGGAGGAATTAATGTTGTTTTATGATTTGATAAGATGTCTTCAAAACCTCTCTTAACAAACATCTTCTGTTCTCTTAACAGTCCTTTCAGGGAAGCCAGGGACGAGCCTACCTCTTTAATTCAGTGTAAGTGTAATGACGATTCTCAAAGTCTGTGAAAGAACATTGGATAGGGGTAGTGTGATGTATGATTGGCTTTGTTGGAATAGTTCAGATGACTTAATAGAATCCCGGTGTTGGAAGAGACCCCAAGGGCCATCCAGTCCAACCCCTTCCTCCAGGCAGGAAGACACAACCAAACCTCTCCTGACAGATGGCCACCCAGTCTCTGCTTAAAAACCTCCAGAGAAGGAGACTCTGCCGGACTTCCAGGCAGCATAGTCCACAGCCAGACGTAAGAATGACATTGAATTCGAGCATCATCCTGGCTAGCCCAGGGTCCCAATTCCTGTTATAGCCAAACAATGGGAAGCCATAAGCCCTGGGCAGCAACTTGCACATCCCTCCAGGTATGTTGCCATCACATTAAAGCTAGCAAGCAAAGCCAGGGGTGAGGAATAATGGGAGTTGCCACCCACCATCTGGAGGGCTGCACTTTGCCCATCCCTCCTATGTAGTAATAAATAGACATATGTGAGCTCTTTCAAAGCTTCTGCACTTGAAAGCGACTCAAAACGTGAACATACAGTGCTTCTTTTGTTCTAATGTCTAGCGATGCGACAGGGAAAGTGAAGGGTCTTATATTTCAAATAGCTTCAGTTAAATATGTATGTTTTGTGTAAAGCTTAGAAATTAATGGGAAGGGGATGCCTCTGGTCTAGCTGACCTTTCTCCCTCCTCCGCCTCTCCATCCCAGGGTGAATGTGGGCTGCGGTCCTGCGGAAGAGAGAGTCCTTTTGACAGGATTGCACGCAGTTGCTGACATTTATTGTGAAAACTGCAAAACCACTCTTGGATGGAAATACGTAAGCGATTGTCCACTGTGGGGCAAATCTGTGTCTAATGGTTTGACTCTTGTCCTTTTTTGAGGGGAGGGCAAAGGGGGTGAATATCTGGAGCATGCCTTGTGCCAGACTCATAGCTTGAATTTGAACCTACTTGATCCACTTAGCCCCAGAGTCTTAGAGGGAGAGGGCCAGAGAAGCACCAGTGGTGGCATCTTTACCTTTCCCCGTCTGAGCTTCAAGAGACAAAAACAAGATTGCATGTGCCACTCTGTGTAGCTTGGGTGCATGGGCCCAGCGGTCTTAGTTTCATAGAGGAGCACTTTTGTTAAAGGATTGCATTGGCTAAGGGGCTTGAACTCTTTTATCCTTGCTTTTGATTTGGATGTGGCAAGTATCGGAGTGCATCTGTCTTTTATGTCTTTTGTATCAGTCCCAATTTCCTCCCAGAATTGTTTGGGGGGAGAAAAAAGCCACAGCCTACAAATAAGCCCATTAGTGGAGATAAAAGGGAGAGCAAAGAGGCAGGTTTTATGCCGAAAGAGCCAAGGCAGTGGAATAAGGAGCAGAGTTGCTTCTGGATTCTGCATTTTTTCCCCCATCAACATTATTGAACAGCTTCAAATGCATTACGTTGTGACTGAGGAATAGAGATTCCCTTCTGATGTGCTTTTAGGACCAGGGTCTTTAGATTAGACAAGCCTCTTTGAGTCTCCTTTGTGGAAAGAAAAAGTGGGGTATAAATAAACAACAACAGCAACAACAACACCATCATAATTCTGAAGTCCCGACCTTTTTGTCTTTAAATATTACTACTACTACTACTATTATAATTATAATTATTATGTTTATTTATATCCCACTTTTTCTGTTCACAAGGAGAAACTATATGGTTAACTTCATTATAGCATAGCCTAAACTTAAGCTCATAAAATTACTACATATTGAATTCATTACATTCATCACATAAATAAAATATATTCAGTTAAAATTAATTATTTTGGTAAACGTTCAAGGTTTTTGAATGGATTAACTCACTCTAGGACTGGCACAGGTTTTGCTTAGTGGCAGCAGCAACATCTGAACATCTAAATTTAGTCCAAGGATCAAAGGGAAGGCATGGCAGGGATGATTACTGACACTTAAGGAAAAAACTGGGGGACAGACATCTTTTGACTTTCACACTACACAGTTATAGTGAAATGGTTCTTTTTCTGCCTCGACTGCCTTCAGTAGGGTACTGGGAGTTGTAGTGAAGCGAGACAGGCCTATATCATCCACTGGTAGGGAAGGGGGGGAAAAGGTATGCAATCCGGAATGGGGGTGGAGAAGTGAAGGGCAAAAGTACACTCATGCTACACATTTATTGCACTTTGGATATCACGGTTCTGGGGGATACAATCCTGGGATTTGCCATTTAGGGAGAGCTATTTGGATTCTCAGCCAGAGAACTATTGTTTATTTCTGATCATTTGTTGCTGTATTCACTGAGTAGGCTGTGAGGAATAAACACTGGGGTAATTAACGTAGATAATAAAGAAGTGATGCCACTTAGCATTGAAAATATTCAGCAGAGTGGATAAAGGGACTTGACCTAAGACCGCCCCCTCTCTTCTTAAAGTATGTTAACTCTCTGTGCTACCCATAAATATCCAAGGTAGGTTTGAATGACAGTCTAGCCAATGGCTGCTGCTGCTTCTTATTGTAACACTGCAAAATTACAAGTGAAATGAAGTCCGGACCAAGTTGCTGATTTTCTTCTATTCAGGTAAGAGTGTGCTACCTAGAACTTACATGAGGAATGAGTATGCTGAATTTGTCAATGGTTAGAGATTCAAATTGGAATCTGACAACGCCTGAAGCCTTCTTGATAGAGATCCAGGGATGTAGGGTTGAGCTGCGAATGAAAGAAAGTGTGCTGGCTCTTCCTTTGTTTTATGTGCAGGAGCACTTGCAGTTTCTCAAGTTGCTCCAGACACGACAAAAAAAAAATGTGCAGGAGCAGTGTGGAAATATACTTATGTTGGACATATTGTTTGCGATGAGTGTGTAATGCATGTCTGTCTTTTTTTATTTCCCTTCTTGCCTAGGAGCATGCCTTTGAGAGCAGTCAGAAATACAAAGAAGGGAAATTCATCATCGAACTTGCCCACATGATCAAAGACAATGGCTGGGAGTAAATGGGAACCCTGCTCTCTCTCGATGGACCGGGCGTTTGTGGAACAGGCTTTATCCAAGACCAGGGCAGCGAGGAGGGTGGTTGGGGCAGTTGGGAGAAATCCTTGCATTTTTTGAAACCTCTACAGTCCGTCGTGTGTCATGTTGTGGCCACAACCCCATCCTCGGGCCACATTTTGCCTTTCTCTCTTTGTGTACGTTCCCTTCTTTTTTGTATCTGTGTTCCTGTGTGAACAGTTGTTTTGGATGGAACTATTTTCTAAGTGGATCCTTCTTTAACTGGCAAGTTACGTTTCCTAGTAAGTATTTTCTCTTTGGACAATTGGCCTTTCGGTGTGTTCCCTTCTGCTCTGCATGCTTTCTTGCCTATCGCCTGAATTATGTAGGAGTCCTGCGGAGAGAATGTATGGGGATGAGACAGCTCTCATAGATAGCCATTTCATAGCAATTTGCAATGAAAAGTATTCAGTCCATCTGAGAAAGTATTGTGTGTTACAACCCGCACAGACCTTTTGACCTGGTTGCTTAAATAATCAGCTTTATTGAGAGAGAGAGAGAGAGAGAATAATTAGGGAAGGGGAAACATTCCTTTGCAATGATAACTAATACTGTAGAATAGATCAACCTCAATCGTTACATTCCTAGGAGCGCTTTTAAGCCCGCTCTCTTTTGAAGGAAGAATGTCTTGCAAAGCTCAAGAGACACACAAAGATGCAGCTCGTGTTTTTAATGTGTCCGTGTGAGACGTGTTGGGTGCAGTACCTTTAAGCAGGAGGTGTCCCTCCGTGGCGTTTGATGGCTGGTTCCATGTTGTTGTATAGTTTCAACACACTGGACAAAGAGAGGGAAGGGGTTGCTGCTGCTGCAGCTCTTTAACCCCACAATGCATTATTTTTTCAGTGCCGTAAGTGGCTGGAGTCTTTCCCTGTTGCTTGCGAGACGCTGAGAGTCAGCAAGCAAGGAAGTGGCAAACTGACTTAATTTCTTCATTAGGCAATGAGAGAGAGAAAAAGTAGCGAGGTAGTTTTTAAAAAGGGGCATTTGATTTGCTGGCTGAATCATCCCTGAGCACATTTTTGTACTTTTCAGTGGCTGAAAACATTGGCACGTCACTGGTTTTCCCCGGCCGCAGCTTGTGATGTGGGGCGACTCAAGCAGACGCTTCCAGCCTGTTGTGTTAAGTGCGCCGAGTTCCCGCAAGGGAACTTTTTCGCTACACACTTTCAAGAGGTTTAAATACTTTTTACGTACTGTCTTTTTTTTTTTTTTGCATTGATCCTTGTTCTGAAATTGACATGAGGAGCAATGTGAGAGATTTTTCACTGACACTACATAACTGCGGAGAGCATGACATTTGATTGGAAAACTTTACAGTGGAACTTGTTTAGCTTTGTGATGTCTCTCCTGAGTAGCTGCTGCTAACATCCTTCAATAGGCTTTTGACTCTTTACTGCACTTTACCTATACATTTCATATCCTTTGAAGATGATATCCCCTCTGCCCCTGATTTGATTGAGGAGTCCTTTCCCGAAGCGACTAATTTGGGAAGTCATATGGTTACACTGTGATGCAAAATGAAGACAATATTGAAATATAGCTATTTAAAATGTATGTCGATATAGTTACCTCTTAGGCATTCAAATCCAAAGAGCTGTCTTCATGACAGCTAGATTCAGACCCTGTTCCATTGAATGACCTTTATTCCGGTGCTTTATTTAATGCAAATGAGTTTTTTGGGCGCCATAAACATTCAGCCCAGTATCCAATAGAAAGTGCAGTGAACCAGATTCTGCCTTGATTCATATCAGATTGTTTCAGTGCCCCCCATAGATCTGTGAACCAGAAATTGAGGTTTCTTAGAGAGCCACAAGTTGCTGCAACCAGTGTGGATCCTTCTGTTCTCCATGGACTTGGAACAAGTGGCGCGGAGAGTGGCCCAGGCCGGCCTCTTGTGTCCTGCTGGTTTGTGACACATGGAAAGCTCCGTCTTGCCCACCTCAACCAGTAACTTTAGCTGACTTACTGTGCATTCCCTTTAAAATCCTTTCGTTTGGAGCTCTGGTTTCCTTCTCTTCCCTCCATTGCTCCATGGCTGTAGTAAGGAAGAGTTTGAACTACATTTCCCTGTGGCGGTGTATCCACAAGCCACAAGGTGTACACTACAATTCTTAAGCAGCCACTGTTCTTGGCTTTGAATGCTGTGATTGGCTGGGAAAGTGTTCCTAGAGAGAAACATTGTGGGTTGTTTTTTCCAATAGCAGGCTCATTTGGTGCATTTCTATCCGGTCTAAGATAGATTTTTCACAGATAACACTGAAAGAAAAAACAGTGAAGGAGGGGAACTTTGGAGAGGGTTTCAGCCACTTGTCGGTGCATTATTCGTATTCTAGACTGACTTGTGGCAGGTCAAATTGCTTGTTACGTAAGAATGTGCATGCCGCCTTTCCGACACTAATCTCCCCCTCCGTGATTCAGTAGCAGAGAGCAGGGGGGCTTTGGTCCTTTGTCCTGCTACAAATTCACCTCCCTGCAGGAATTAAAATGCCTGTTTGCTTTGGAGGAAGGGGAAAACTACACGAGTTGGGGGAAAAGGTTGAGCCCCCCCCCCCCCCCCCCCCCCCCCGACTTTTCCTAGCAGTCTCTAGAATGGTTTACATGCAATGTGTTGTTTGGTGCTCTGGGTTCATGGACACGGAAGCCCTCATTGAAACATTCTGGATTCCAAAAATTGAGAGAATAAGGAAGCTAGCCCCTGGAGTCCCAAATAGCTGGGAGGAAACCAAGTGCAAGTTACTGGTGGTGATAAAGCCTTGGGGAACAGCCCCCGGCAATAGTTGGATGGATTCAGAAAGGAGGAGGGGGTCGTAGTCTAGGATCGGAAGCCTAACCAGTAGTATTCCCACGTTGTCCTCATTGGAGGTTCGTGGGAACCGGGTGCACCTCTTGGGCCATTTTGGAGACCCTCGGAACCAGATCCAGCTGGAGAATGGTTGACCTCTCAGTCTAGTTACTGAACTTGCCAGCATTTTCAAAAAAACAGAATACTTGAACATTTTACAAAACGCTTTCCCTCTACAACCCTATTTTGTAATGTATTCTATTTAAGGGTGTCGTGCGCATGTTCTTTCTGAGCGAGTTTGCGCTTCCCCTCCCAACTTGAGCACTTTTGTTACCTGTGTTGTTTTTATTACTGTTGGTCTTAACATTTATTTTATATATATATATTTTTTATAAATCGTAACGGCGACTTTTGTGAACACCTGTGCATCCTCTGCTAGGGTCTTTCCCCCGCTTTTGTTTTGTTTGTTTGGACTAGATGAACTGACTACAAGCTGGCTCTTGGGGAGAATGTTCATTGGCACAGACAAGGATGTGCTGGCAAAGTGTATTGAAGTGTGTGTGTGTGTGTGTGTATTTGTTTGACCTCAATAGCCATGGTTATCGTAAAATAACCAGACAGTATGATATAACGGACGGCAATTCAAATCTTTTTCAAAGTTGAGTGTCCTCATGGACGGCTGTGGAGGAAGGGATGCACAGTTCCCTCAAAGGAAGGAAAATCCCATTAGCTGAGATGTTACTTCTGCTATGGTTGTGTTAGTGAGCTGTGTGCTAATGCTCAATGTGAAGAGGGTTTTGTGCATTTTGAACTAGAGCTTGGAGCTGTGAATTCTAGGACTACAACTCCCAGACTGGGGCGTTGTGGCCCAAACAGTCCCCTTTCCTCGCTCTCCTTTGAACTAGCCCACCCATTGCTTCATTTTCTCGCTGCTTTGGTGTAAGCATTACAGTTGTGCGCACCGATTTTGATGTAGCAGATCCGTCTAGGAGACTTAAGAGCTGTGGATGCCTTTGAACCGCTGGAAGAAACGCCACACTTGCAGTGTAATCTGTTGTAACATATGCAGAATGTCCCCCCAGATAGAGCTTGCCTTTGCGTGTTGCCGATCTTGTTGTCCACATGGGTTGGACATGAATCCATTCTGTAACAATATGGAAGGCAGTCGTCCCAACCCGCAAAGAAAGGGGACTTGGGAGAGAGCATTGTCTTTAGTCTTGCCCAAAGTTTATTTATGCTCCATTTTGATTGTTTCAATGTGGCAAGATGAAGCTGACCAGTGGCTCTCTCCATTGCTATATTTCGTGTGTCATGGAACTCTGTGACAAAATACTCAAAACTCACTTGGATGCCAGCTGAAACCAGACTTTGGTAGTACCAGAAAAGAGCGAGCTCATGTTGACTATGAATAAGAGTGTCACCAGCATTATTGACTACGAAATGTGAGGTTTTCAATATATGACTTTATTTTTTGACTGAGATAATAAGCTTCAATGATAAAACGTGTTTTATACTGACATTCCCAGATTGTCACATTTTGATATCCATATCTATACGTGGATATACATTACATGTGTGTATATGAGACCAATGGGGCGAGAATGAAATAGAAGCAAACGTTCAAGGGTCATTCTTTGGTAGCGCCACATACACTGTTAGCTGAAAAACAACCCATTCTAGACAATGTACTAAACAGACTGGGATTTCTGAGAAGCCCTTGGTGGCAATTGAATTGTGCCTCAATGCTGAAACACTTTAAAACCTGCTTTCTTTTGCAGCTGACGTGGCTTCTTTCTGGTTTTTTGTCTTAGCAATACTGTACACAATTTGTTGTTTCACTTTATTGTATCTATTTGAGGTATCACAATAAAAGCCTTCAGTTGTTTTGTTGAACTCACTGGTTCTCTTTGTGGTTACTCCTCCCACAGAACATGTTGGACTATACAACTGTGAGCATACTCATAAAACAGTCACATTCTTGGTAGTATCACGTTTTGCTGTGGGTACTTTAGACAATTAGCATGGCAGGAAGCCCTTTAGACACCAGAAGGGAGTCTGACTGCTGCAGACAGGATGGACAAGGCCTCTGATGGTGTATGTGTGAGTGAACACACAGACAGGTGGGCATAGTCCTCTGCATGTATATATATCTGGACACAACAGGCCATGTGCGCCCATATAAATACAACATGCACTGTGTGCATCTCTATTTTATTTTGTTCCCCAAGCTCGTTAAGCATCAAAAGGCCTACATTAATATACATTAGAAATTACAGCTGAGTTATCATAAACAGGATTAACAGATCTTTAACAAAACTGTCCAAATGTCACATTTTGGCCTCTTGTTTTCACCTCTTGGTAGAAAAAAGCTCTCATTTAATACCCTACACACTGAAGTTCTCGTCTGTTCTTGTCCATGGGGGCCAAACTGACCAAGTGCCCCAACCATTTCCTCCAATGAGCCCAGACTCCTGCAAAGATCTTAGAAAATATGGCTGACTAATTTCCTGGCAAGAGAATAACATAACAACACTCTGCTGGCATGATCCGGGACAAACTGAAATGGAATCTTCAACTATGAATATTTCACAGGATTCATTCAGCTAGATTTTTCTATCAAGGTGTTCTTTTAAAAAAATAAACTGAGCTGTAAAAGAAAGGGACGATTTCCCAAAGCAATATACAAGCCATTCCTGAGCAGGAATCTTAACTAATCTGTACAATTGTCCCCTACGATCAGGGTTTCTGGGTACATTCTGGCTGCTGAAATGTTCTGATCCTGGTCAATTCTGTCAGCTTGAGGGCAGCTGAAGCAGATGAAGAAAAGGGATACTGCACAGTTCACACCTTTTTGCTTTACCCTGGAACCCTGCTCGCAAAGTCACAGAGTGGAGAGGTTAGAAACTGTGTCCAAGGACAGCCACTTCAGAAAATGGAAGTCTTAAATGAAGGCATGTTAAGGGTATGTGCTTTTTTGTGGGTGGAAAGAAAAGCACCAACCTGGTCTATCACATTTGAAATCATTTTCGAGTCCATCCATCGTCTACCAAGAACTGAAGTCTCCAAAACCGGTGCCTTTTCTCTCTTTCTTGGAAGCTGCGCTGGTGGATGGGCCTTCGTCGTCCGCCACTCGCTTCCTATAATGTTAACCAAAGAATCGGGGCAGACTGATCACCACTTTCCTTCCCTCTTGGTCCTATCCGCTCCCATGACACTTCATAATGAACCACAGGGGCTAAAGAGAGGCTCACCCAAACTTAGCCCATAGCAAAAGCTTAGCCAAAGAGATGCGGCAAATCAAAAGCTTCTAGTGCCAGCAGCAGAACAATTGAGCTTAAGCAATTCAGTAGCAGAGTCAAACTTTAAAAGTTGCAAAAGACTTTGTTCAAAAAACGATATAACTATAGGAAAATAAAGCATAGAGCCTAGCTGTCTAACTAACTCACAGCAGACAAAAGGAGAACAAAAATGGAGGACTTTGGGGCTTGCTGGAGAAAAAAGGCATGTCTCAGAGAAATATCAGTCTAACCAGAAAGGTGGTAGGAGAAGAAAACAGCATGATAGGCAGACAGAGAAGTCAATAGGGGAAGGGCTTTCCCTGCCAACTAACTCATCTGCCGATCTAAGTCCTTGATGGGGACTATAAACTTGTGCAGGATGTGGTAGAGTTCCACTAAGGCCATGACTTCATTTCTCTACACACACAAAGCAGAAATGGGTAAAGCAAATTGCCAAGGGAACTTACGTAGCTGCAATATTAATGTACTTCCCGACCCCCTCACGGTACGTTTTGGGTGCGTGGCTCTCCTTCTTGGGAGCCATGGCTTTGGCGGCCCCCTTGGCTGCCTCTTCCTCTTCCTGGGCCTTCTCTCGCTCCTTGGCAACCTAGAGAGGGAAGAAAAGGGCAAAGAGGTGAATCTGCTACCAAGGCACAGTGACCGCAGCAACAGTGGCAGTCCCAGCCAAGCAAGCCTCTTGCCCCAAGAAGGGGCCCCCATGGGGAGCCAGGCGCTCTGGAAATGCAGCTTCAAAGACAATGCTCTGCCCAATAACCTTTTGCTTTCTCAACTTAAGCCAATCGAGCCAGGCTTGGAAATAGCAAAACAGCAACCCTCCCGGGCAGGGCAGCTGCTCTGGCCAAGGGGAATGGGATTTGGATGGGTTCTCTGTGAATACAGCTGCGTCTATGAAGGAACGGCACATTCCTGCCAAGTTTGCAAGCAGCTGCAAGCAAACCATCGAGGGGGAAGAAAGGCCTGTGTTGAAGCAATGGCCCGAGTACTGACCAATCACAGTTGAGGGTTGAGGGGCCTGAGATTCATGCCAATGTGGCCATGGAAAAGGGATGCCCCCAGCCTCCTTTGCCACCCTAATAGTGTGTGAAGGCAACCTGGACGATGGCATCCTGCCTGCTCTCTGACAGAAGTATGGAAAGCAAAGCAGCCATTCCTAGGAAGGCCTTGCTCCTCACCTGAGCATCGGCTTCTTCGTATGGATCCACAAAAACAGTTGTTGACTCAATTCGGATTTCCTCCTAAAAAGAGCATGGAAAGAGGAGGAAAGAAAACCTTAAGCCTGGCATACTTCACTGGACTGGTGCCCTTTTCCTTGTCAGAATGCGTTGGCTCTTCTTGAGAGCCATTTTGTACCTTGGGCCGGTCAGTTTTGGGATCGCTCTCCACGTTTTCCATTGCCGTCAGGGTTTCAAAGCCGCCAACCACTCTGGAAGAGCAAAGGGGAAACAATCCACTCAGCGGGAGGCAAAAAAGACAAGAGATCCAAGATCTACCATCACTGATAATAATAATAATAATAATAATAATAATAATAATAATAATAATCGTTATTATTATTTTCGTGTCACTTGCTTCTGGTGTGAGAGAATTGTCTGTCTGCAAGAACGTTGCCCAGGGGACGCCCGGATGTTTTACCATCCTGTGGGAGGTTTGTGTCATGTCCCTGCATGAGAAGCTGGAGATGACAAACAGGAGCTCACCCCGCTCCCTGGATTCGAACTGCCAACCTTTTGGTCAGCAATCCTGCTGGCACAAGGGTTTAACGCCACTGGGGGCTGCTTATTATTATTATTATTATTATTATTATTATTACTACTACTACTACTAGGGCCCCTGATTGGGAAAAGGTGGGGTACAAATGTCATAAATAAATAAATAAATATTAACATCATCACCATAATCGTCATCCTGCTTTTTCTCTCTAAAAATTAGAGACTCAAAGTGGGTTCACAATGAAACCAATACAATACAATTTAAGACCTAAAAATAGGCAAATATTAAAATTGAATTAAACATGGACAATTTGAAAAAAATGTGTTGTCGAAGGCTTTCATGGCCGGAATCACTGGGTTGCTGTGAGTTTTCCGGGCTGTATGGCTATGTTCCAGAAGCATTGTGGAGCATGGCCATACAGCCTGGAAAACTCACAGCAACCCAATATTTAAAAAATAAACAGTTTAAACCCTTAAAACCAATTAGAAACCTACTCATAGCTAGAACCACAGCTCTCCTGACATCATTTATTTTATGATTCATTGTAAAAACTTTCCCACACACTTTCTGCCAAATAGGTTTGTGCACTTGAAAAATCCAAAGCAGAAGTCTCACTACATTACAATGGAGATTCAAAGCCAATCTAACATCTGGTCCCTGCATTCTTAATTGCCCCTGGATTTCCACTGAAATACAATGGAAAATATAGGAGCTTCTTTCCCGGATCTCCAATATCATGGGATTTGAGGTTCGGATGGCATGGACACTTGTGGCCTGACAAAGCTCAAGCAAATGCTGGTTTTAATAACCATGCCCCCAGAATATTGAATCGATGTAAAGCAAGATTATGCCCTAAGACACCCCAAGAAACTCCTTCGAGGAGAGGAACAACAGTGAAAGGAGGATAGTTGACTTACTATGACTATTTAGAAAGGGACCTGATATCTTAATGAATCAATACAATTAATCAAATCGCTGGCAGAGGGTTATCAGTTCCAGTGGTGTCCTCACAAATATTTGGATGTTTTAATTCAAACTTTCTTTTAAAAAATGTATGCCTTTGAAGGGAACAAAACAGAATGTGTGACCTGGCTGTGTGTGGATGACAAACATTGGCTTGGTCAAATATAGAAATGGAGGCGGGGGGGGGGGGGGGGGGAGAAGAACAACAAGGAAAGTACGATAAAGTGGGTGTCGAATTTTAGATATAATATTCAGTTAAAAGAATGGGAGAAATTGGTCAACATGTGTAAAATTTGCATTATGATTAAAAAGAAAATGTCCATAAGATGCTATTGTTGGCATTTCACACTGGAAAATTTGGCTAAGATATAGAAATGAGCCTCGAGTATCTGCTGGAAATGTGAGCAACAGGTGGGCTCTCTCGACCATCTCTTTCTGCCATATGGGCCTATGGAGTTGGCTCAAACAGTCTGGACTCAAAGACCAAATTCAAATTAATATTCAATTTCCCAACAAAAAGAGAATTCTATTGTATTGTCGAAGGCTTTCATGGCTGGAATCACTAGGTTCTTGTGGGTTTTTTCGGGCTATAGAGCCATGTTCTAGAGGCATTTCTCCTGACGTTTCGCCTGCATCTATGGCAAGCATCCTCAGAGGTTGTGAGGTCTGTTGGAAGTAGGAAAAATGGGTTTATATATCTGTGGAATGGCTGGGGTGGGGCAAGGAGCTCTTCCCTGCTGCAGTTAGGTGTGAATGTTTAGCTGATCACCTTCATTAGCATTTGAAGGCCTGCCTGAGCCTGGGAAAATCTGTTGCTGGGCGGTGTTAATCTGTGCCTGGTTTTTTCCTCTCTGTTGTTTAGCTGTTATAATTTTAGAGTATAATTTTAGGAGAAATGCCTCTAGAACATGGCTCTATAGCCCGAAAAAACCCACAAGAACCTAGAATTCTATTTATTGGGATTGTCAGAAGGCAACATGGAAAAAAATGTAACACTGTGACGACATCTGACCACAGAAGTGATATTCATGTTTGTGTTGAAGTGGAAGAATACAATTATTCCAACGTCTGAAAAATGGCAGTTCAAGTGGTGTTCATTCAACAGACCCCTAGTTTGGACCTACAGAAGGTTACAACTAAATAAGGGAAGAAACATTGGGTTGTAGGTTTTTCGGGCTGTATGGCCATGTTCTAGAAGCACTCTCTCCTGACGTTTCGACTGCATCTATGGCAGGAATCCTCAGACCTCACAACCTCGAAACATCAGGAGAGAATGCTAAAACATGGCCATACAGCCCAAAAAACCTACAACAACCCAGTGATTCTGGCCATGAAAGCCTTTGACAGGAAGACACATTCTTTGAATGCTTGAAAGCACCCAACAAAGGCTACACATACTGCAATCTCAGGACGTTGGGCAAAGTGTGTGTGTGGGGGGGCGGGGCGCTGTGTACAAGCCCCGCTCTTCCCGCTGATCCTGACGTTCAAAGGCAGCACTTCCCAGTCTCGCGGACATCTGCGCTGTGTAGGTTTCTTTTCACTTGTGTGTTTTTGTCTTCCCCTAAATTACATCAATTAAGCTGTGTGCCATATTGTGCTGGCGCTGGCCCAGGCCCCCAACACAAAAGAGCCCCCCGCCGTTTCCTGCTTGGAAGACAATACAGGAAAGCAGCACAGATCAACATAAGAAACATAAGAAGCTTTAGGGGAAGAAACCAAGCATTGGGGGGGGGGGGGGGGGGGGGAGAGAGAAGGGAAACGGGCTTCCGAGGGCGACAACCCACACAGGCAGGGCTGCTCCAAAAATCTGCCATTACTAAAAACATTATTTGTAGATGAAGCACGGCGTCTGAGTGTGTTTTGTTGGCATTCTCTACCCTTAAGTCAGCTCTGACTCTGGGCGACCTATGAATGAGAGGTTTCCGAGAGCCCTGCTCTCAGGCCTTGCAAAGCCAGGGCCATGGCTTCCTTGATCGAGTCAATCCACTTGAAATACAGTTTCTGTTTTCCCCTAAGCCAGTGTTTCTCAACCTTCCTAATGCTGCGACCCCTTAATACAGATCCTCATGTTGTGGTAACCTCCAACCATTACATTATTTTCGTTGCTGCTTCATAACTGTAATTTTGCTACTGTTATGAATTGTAATCTAAATATCTGATATGCAGGATCTATTTTCATTCACTGGACCAAACTTGCACAAATACCCGATACACCCCAATTGGGTTGGGCAGGGGGTTGATTTTGTCAATTGGGAGTTGTAGTTGCTGGGATTTGTAGTTCACCTACAATCAAAGAGCATTCTGAACTCTACCAACGATGGAATTGAACCAAACTTGGCACACAGAACTCTCATGACCAACAGAAAATACTGGAAGGGTTTGGTGGGCACTGACCTTGAGTTTTGGACTTGTAGTTCACCTAGATCCAGAGAGCACTGTTGATTCAAACAATGATGGATCTAGACCTAACTTGGCACAAATACTCAGTATGCCCAAATGTGAACACTGGTGGCGTTTGGAGAAAATAGGTGGGAGTTGACAGGTGGGGGTTGTAGTTGCTGGGATTTATAGTTCACCAACAATCAAAGAGCATTCTGAACTCCACCAATAATAGAATTGGGCCAAACTCCCCACACACAATCCCCATGACCAACAGAAAACACTGTGCTTTCTTGATGATCTTTGGAAACTCCTCTGACACCCCCTCATGACCCCCCAGGGTCCCGACCTCCAGGTTGAGAAATGCTGATCTAAGCCCTCCCACTGCACACAGCATTAATGAGTTGCTTTGTCTCACAATGCGGCCAAAATACCATAGCCTCGCTTGCTCTAGGACCCACTGCTTGGTCTTATGAGAATCCACGGTACCCTAGAGGGGAGGATCCAAAACTAAAATGAAATGCAGAGGTATAGGATGGGTGACCCCTGGCTTGAAAACTGTCCATGGGAAAAGGATCTAGGAGTCTTAGGAGACAACAAGCTGAACATGTGTCAACAGTGAGGTTTGGCAGCTTAAAAAGCCAATGAAATTATAAGCTTCTCGTGAGAAAAATAGTACCATCCTATTCCTAGCTCGTCCTGCAGTGGTAACAGCACAACAGCTCATCCTTTGCGACTGCCTCTCCACCAGGATCTACCCAAGCCAAAAGAAAAGATCGCACATATATTGGTAGCATACGCTCTCCCCCACAATCTGTGACGATGATTCATGAGGTCCAGGGCCAGGGACAGTGTTATTTTTAGCTTCAGGGACAACTTGCGGTTGCAGTTGCACAGGCATGCTCAGCGACTCCAAAAGTAACTTTTCTACATGAACCGTAGACAGAGCAACCTATACATGAGCCTTTTTCTCTTTGGAGCCCTTTCTTTTCCAATAGAGGACACCATCAATCGATGCAAGCAATCGCCAGGGGTGGAGAGATGCCTTGGATGGAGGCTACGTCTCTCACATTGTCAGTCCCTCTTTAAACTCTCAAAGGGGTGGGATTTGACCACAATGGCGGCCAAACTCTTGCTCATTTTGCCCCCCCCCCCTTTTTTGGTCTCATATTTTAGTTTCATACAGAGCCTTTTTCCAATTAAATGACCAGAATTCCTGGTCTGGTCACTACCAGTTGGAGAAAAGACCTGCGCTGGCCTAAAATGGCCAAATCAAGATCAATTACAGCTCCAAATCTGGCAAAGCGGCCAACACAGCCTCATTCACACATTTGAGACACATTTGTCTATTGCAGTGGTTCACAACCTGAAATGCGTGGACCACCAGTGGTCTGTAAGAATGAAAATATGGTCCGTGTTCTCACCATTGCTACACCATTGCCTTGAAACCACACCGCAAGGAGAGTGACTGGTCTCACCAAACCCTCTTCTAGTGCCAAGGCAGTGAGGATGTCGGGAGGGGAGAGACTGACTATGAAATATTACTACTACCACATCAGCTCTAGGTTTTCTGTGGGAGAGCAGATAGAGACTACTGGATGGCATATGTTTTGTATCAGAAACTAGAGCTGATGTGGTCTATCCAATGCAATTTTCTGAATCAGCACCCCAAATGACCAAACTGAATCTAAAGTTGACCAAAAACTTATTGGGTTGTTGTAGGTTTTTCGGTTTTTATGGCCATCTTCTAGAAGCATTCTCTCCTGACATTTTGCCTGCATCTATGGCAGGCATCCTCAGAGATTGTGAGGTCTGATTCGTAATCCTTTTGGTACTAATGTTGGAGAGTGGTCCCTGGTCCAAGTGGTCCCTAGTCAAGTGGTTCCTGGTTTAAAAAGGTTGGGAACCACTGGTCTATTGGCCATAGATAGTCAATATCCCCAGCACAACACTGTGAGGCAGGCCAGTCTGATTGATACAGGACTGATTCGAGATCCCCTGCAGAGCTTTGTGGGATTCTGAACCCTGAAACATATTATTTCTTGGCTACGATAGTTCAAAAAGAAACATTTGGCAATGTGTTCCCATACCTTCCAAAGACGGTGTGCTTCTTGTCTAGATACGCGCAAGAGCGGAATGTGATGAAGCTGGAGGCGGGGAGGGAAAGAGAGAGAGATCTTAGAAGCATGTCATACACAGAAGACATCAAGAGATCCTAACATCAAGGATGCTCACAGAACCGAGGAAACATGACAACCTGATCAACCCACTGTGCAGACTGGACAAATTGGTTTTTTTTAGATGAGTCCTGAGATAACCATTTGGTGCGGGAGAACGAGACTCGGAGTGATCAGAATAAGTCGAAAGTCTAGATCAGTGGCGTTTAACCTGTGGCCCTCCAGGTATTTTTTTCAATGTGCCATTTTTAACCTTTCAGATGCCATTGTAAAACCTTTTGTTCAGATTGAATAAAGAACAAAGTTTTTGCAATTTAATAAACTTTTCCCTGTGTTTTTATGATAGAACCAATTAGGAAATGACATTTGTAACCCAGGAATAAAGATCATGTTACATTGTTGAAGTGGCATAAAACTGAAAAACTCCATTCTCTCCCAAAGACAGTTTAAACCAACACAGAGCGCTTCTCTGCTTTCACCCCCTCTCAAATAGAGTTTAAATGAAAACAGAGGTCTTCTCTGCTTCCTTCCTTCTCAAAGACCGTTTGAACATGGAGCTCTCTCCCCCTCCTCTTTGTCTTGGAGGTAAGACAAGTTTTTTTGTTTGTTTGTCAAAAACCAGAATCCAACAAACAGAAGGAACCAGTTTTATTTCATCACATAATAGTCACATCCCTTATTTATTTATTTACAGTATTTATACCTCCCCCTTCTCTCCCTGAAGGGGACTTAAGAGTGGCTTACAGGACACACATATGGCAAACACTCAATGCCGATTATACAATTAACAAGGAGAGACAACGCAAACAGAGGTAGAGGCAGTTTTTCCCATCATATTTCTGGCATCTTGGAGGTTGTGCTCAACTCTGGTCATGTGGGGTGCTGTCGCTCCATCTTCCATACCAAGGAGCTTTCCTCCAATGGATGTCCATAAGGGCGCCTTTATTATCTTCCCGCTAAATGCGGTACCTATTTATCTACTCGCATTTCTGCTTTTGCTAGGTGGGCAGGTGACCTGAGGCTAATGGTGGGTGCTCACCCGACCTGGGCTCAAACTGCTGACCTTTTGATCGGCAGGATTTTTTCTGCAGCACACCAGTTTAGCCTGCTGTGCTAAGCCTGACCCCTTCCTTCCAACAAGGATTAAGAAGTGCGACTAATATGAAATGAAATACAGTACACTCATATGAGATAATGTTGACAAACTGATCATAGAGTGAGAGTTATATAAGAGCCGTTCCTCATATTTTACTACCTCCACTAAGGGTTACCATCCCACCTATACAAGTGTGTTCATAATTCTTTTCAGACTTAAATACAGCAGCCCAATGGGTCAAGCAGCCATTCTCACGGTATTAGGAAAGATTATCCTAATAAGTTACATTAGTGTTTCTCAAATTGTGCTCCTCCGGGTGTTTTGGACTTCAGCTCCCAGAATTTTTAATACAGTATTTATATTCTACTCTTCTCACCCTGCAGGGGACTCAGAGCGGATTACAATGCACATATACATGGCAAACATTCAATGCCATTAGACATACAATATATATAGACAGACACAGAGGCAATTTAACATTCCAGCTTTCTGGCTCCATGAGAGTATGCTCGATTCTGGCCACAGGGGGAGCTGTCGCTTCACCGTCCACTTGTGACAACGAGTCCTTGATGGAGTACTTCCTCATTCTTACGCATGCTCCTGGAAGGTTTTATGGTGTAATAAATTAGTTAAATTAGCCTCTCTGCATAAAGCAATACCTAAATTTTTTACTTGACAGATGCAACTGTCTTTCGGGCTGCATAGGTCAACAGCAAGCTAGACTATTAATGGTCAGGAACTCACTCTGACCCGGGCTGGCTTTGAGCTCATGACCTTTTGGTCAGCAGTGATTTAATGCAGCTGGTTACTAACTAGCTGCGCCATAGCCCGGCCCTAAGATTCCAAACTACTGGACAAGCTGGCAAGAACTTCTGGGAGTTGGAGTCGCAAACACCTGGAACACCAACGGATGGACATCACTGATCTAGAGGATGTTTCAATTAATATCAATCAAATACACATTTTATGTAAGGTTTTCATTAGTTATGAAATCGCATGAATGTGAAAACAAAATACAGTGTTCCCCCGCTACTTCACGGTTCACTGTTTGCAGACTCGCTGTTTTATGGGTTTTTAACAAAAATGAATTTAAATTACAGTACTGTATACAAGTAGTGAGGGAACACTGTAGGAGGAAGGAGGGGTGGGCGGATGGATGGATCTCTGCATAGGCTCAGCCTCCTTGCCCTCTTTACCCTCCTCCTCCTCCTCCTCCTCCTCGGTGCCACCATGCATGCACCATGGAGCCCAGGCTGGGTGCAAGCTCGAGGTGGAGGGAAAGCAGCACCCAGCAGTGCCCAGACAGAGAGAGGGATTGATTGGGAGAGAGAGGGGCCATCTTCCAGAGGGAGGGCAGACGGGGGACATACATTTATGTATACTGTACATACACTGTAAGCATCCCTACTTTGCGGATTTTCACTTATCACGGGTTGTCCTGGAACGTAACCCCCGCGATAAGTGAGGGAACACTGTACTTTGCTAATCAATGAAGTGTAAAGAGTAAGAAAACCTGACAAATGCATCCAAGCCAGTTCCACTTAACAACCACAAAACTGTAAGGCAATGAGCATTTCGAATCATTAGCATGAGAAAATGCATACCCAGACAACGATGGGTACACAAGCAAATGATTACTAAATGGTTGTCTTGAGTGAGTCACACTTTCAGCCTCGGAGGAGAAACCCTCTGAAAAAAAAATCTGGCAAAAAGACTCCAACTAATGATAGGAGGAGGAATGAAAAAACTGTGAAGGAAAAACAAAACAAAACAAAGGATAAGAGTGAAAGGAGGAGAAGGAACTATGACTTTGGGAGCATATTCCCAATGCTATTCCCTGCAAGACCCATCTGTGTGAATCACAGAAAGCATGACGAAGGGGGAGGCATGTGTGAAAGCAATCGAGAAGACGAGAAAGTCGCAGCTCCTGTGTCTCAAACTGTGATTTCGAGCTCGGTTGGAAAGCCTTGTTGGTTTATAAAGGAATTCATTTGAAGTATTTTACTCTCTCTCTCTTGGACCAGAGGTCCCCAAGGTGGCTTACATACAAAGTCATAAGAAACCAAGCAGACTAAGATCAGAAGCAGAAAAGTGCCAGCTTTAAGAACACATAAAAGCCAGTGAGTAGATCCCACCCCAAGTCCAGGAGCATCGATGGCTTCCCAGGCATAATACGGGACTCCATGTGCTTTGTAAGGTATTGCAGGCAACAAGGTACAGAGCCAAGACCAGCCAAGCCATGACTTACAACTGGGATTTGTTGTTGTTGGGTCCTGTGTTGGCCATGCTGAGGATGCCACGTCCCGTGTGCGACAGGTTGGGCTTGAACTCATCTTTGAAGGGCTTCCCCCAGTACGACTCACCTCCTATGATTGAACAGAGGAGGAAACAAGCTTTCAACATTACCTTCATACCTGCATTTCTCATTCTCTTTATATCTGCAATGACCAATGCATTCTCCTTTCCAGTTGGCTCATTCGGAGCACATGTAAGTTTCATGGCTGAATGGGGACATGGACCTGGTGTTCCAGATACTCCACCTACTGCACCACAACAAAATTAAATACGCTACATAGGTATTTGATGCTCCACATACCAACAGATCCTATCACCATCTATCTATCTATAATAATGAGAATGATGATGATGATAATAATAATAATAATATCTTTATTTGTATACTGCCCTATCTCTCGGGGGGGGGGGGGGGGGGGGCGCTCAGGGCGGTTTCCAAGCAACAACATCATAGCATACAGAGTCACAACATGAACAAAAAATAACACTAACAGCAACATAAGCATGGAATTACCCAACAACACATAAATATTAAAAGAAAAAATCCTGCCTGCTCTTCATGTCTATTGGTTAGGGCATGGATCGATCGATCGATCTAATCTATCTATCTATCTATCTATCTATCTATCTATCTATCTATCTATCTATCTATCTATCCATCCATCCATCCATCCATCCATCCATCCATCACAGTGTTTCTCAACCTTCCTAATGCAGCGATCTCTTAATATAGTTCCTCTCGTTGGGGTGACCCCCAACCATAACATTATTTTCGTTGCTACTTCATAAATGTAATTTTGCTACTGTTATGAATCATAATGTAAATATCTGATATGCAGGATGTATTTTCATTCACTGGACCAAATTTGGCACAAACATCCAATATGCCCAAATTTGAATACTGGTGGGGTTGGGGGAGGGGGGGGGTTGATTTTGTCATTTGGGAGTTGTAGGTGCTGGGATTTATAGTTCACCTACAATCAAAGACCATTCTGAACATCACCAATGATGGAATAGAACCAAACTTGGCACACTGAACTCCCATGACCAACAGAAAATACTGTAAGGGTTTGGTGGGCATTGGCCTTGAGTTTTGGAGTTGTAGTTCACCTACATCCAGAGAGCACTGTGCACTCAACCAGTGATGGATCTGGATCAAACTTGGCATGAATATTCAATATGCCCAAATGTGAACACTGGTGGAGTTTGGGGAAAATAGACCTTGACATTTGGGAGTTGTACTTGCTGGGATTTATAGTTCACCTACAATGAAAGCGCATTCGGAACCCCACCAACAACAGAATTGGGCCAAACTTCTCACACAGAACCCTCAACACCAACAGAAAATACTGTGTTTTCTGATGGTTTTGGTGACCCCTCTGACTCCCCCTTGTGAACAGGGTCCTGACCTCCAGGTTGAGAAACGTTGATCTAAAGTCAAAGTAAGTATGTATATTTGTCTGTTTGTACCACAATGGTTGTTGTTAGGTGAAGTGGCCCTTTGTGATGTCACTGGGCAAGAAAGATGACAGGTATATGAGAGGAAGGGAGGAAGAAAGGATGGGAAATAATAATAATAATAATAATAATACACTTCATTTATAATTTGCTCTTATCTCCCCTAGGGGACTCAGAACGGATTACTGTATACACATATACAGGCAAACATTCAATGCCTTTTATACAGTGAACAATAACATACAATACAAAAACAAAGGCAAAGGTTTCGCTTTCCATCTCCCATGTCTGGAGGCGATGATCAACTCTGGCCATGGGAAGGTGCTCTTGTTTCATTTTTCCATGCTGAGGAGCCTGATGTCCATGGACTCTCCTGGTCATGTTTTGCCAGCATGGCTACATGGGTGCCTTTTACCTTTCCACCGAGGCGGGACCTATTGATTTACTCTTATGACATATTTTTGAACTGCTAGTTTGTCAGGAGCTAGGGCTAACAGTGGGAGCTCACCCCAACCCACAGCTTTGAACTACTGACCTTCTGATCAGCAAGTGTTCCCGCAGCTAGCAGCTTAACCCACTGTGCTACTGGGGAAAGGGAGTAAAGAAAGAAAAAGGAAAGAAGGAAGGAGGGAAGTAAGAGAAAGGAAAGGAAAGGGAAAAAGGTATAAGGGAAGGGAGAGAAAAAAGTGATGAAGGACGGGAGGGGAGAGAGAAAAAGAATGGAAGAGAAAAGGGAGAGAAAGAAATAAATAAAGGGGGAGGTGGATGAGGAAAAGCAAGGAAAAAAGAAAAAAAAGAGAAAAGAGAGAGGGAGAAGGTGGATGAGAGAAATGGAGGAAGGAAAGAAGGAGCCACAATGAGAGCCACGCTGTCATGGAGAAATTATGAGGGAGGCCTTCTCAGAGCCAGGGAAGAGAGAAAGTATGGGTTTAATCGGTTTTAAGTGTTAACTTTTAATACTGTTAATATTTAATTCTATTTTAATGTTTGTGTATTGTTAGGTTTTAAATTGTACTGTATTGGTTTTATTTCAAGCTGCTTTTAAGTCTCTTTTTTAGAGAGAAAAAGTGGGACACAAATACTACTACTACTACTACTACTATTACTACTAATTGTCTACTTGTGTGTTCTTTAAGTTCCATCTTGCCAGGTTGGTGGAGGACGGAGAAAAAACTGCTGATGAGTCCTGAGATGAGGGATAAAAATGGTAAATCCCAACCATGACCAAGGAGGGTGAGAGTTGTGGGCCAACAAGCTCTGGAGACTCAAAATCAGAAGTCATTGCTCTAGGACAGTCGTATAGGAGTTGCAGTCCAATAGCCAGAACTCACCCACTCATTGTCCATGGGAGTGAAAAAGTAAAGGTAAAGGTTTCCTTTGACATTAAGTTTAATCGTGTCCAACTCTGGGGTGCTTATCTCCATTTCTAAGGCGACGAGCTAGTGTTGTCTGTAGACACCTCCTAGGTCATATGGCCAGCATGACTGCATGGAGCGCCGTTACCTTCCCGCCAAGGCAATACTATTGATCTACTCACATTTGCATATTTTCAAACTGCTAGGTTGGCAGGAACTGGCCTAACAGCAGGAGCACACCCCACTCCCTGGATTCGAACCACTGATCTTTCGGATAGCAAGTTCAGCAGCTCAGCGGTTTAACCTGCTGCACCAACAGGGGGCCCTTTGGGAGTATAGAGAAGCTCAAAAGATGGCCATACGTGCCACTCATACATTTGACATATTTGTTGTCAAAGGCTTTCATGGCCGGAATCACTGGGTTGCACAGGGGAATTCCAGACAAGAATCAATCAGGGCCAGCTAACACCTCCCAACAAAGGACTTCCCCAGGCAGGAAGCAGCCAGGCTTTGAGGCTGCAAGGATGCTCAATGCTAATCAAGGTGGCCAATGGCAACATTCACACCTGCCTCAAGCAGATAAGAGTTCTTTCTCCCTCCCTGGACATTATTCTAAGCTATATAAACCCCATTTGCCTAGTTTACAACAGACCACATAACCTCTGGATACCTGCTATAGATGTGGGTGAAACGTCAGGAGAGAATGCTTCTGGAACATGGCCAGACAGCCCGGAAAACTCACAGTAACCCAACTGACATATCATTGCCAACTGCTATTGGGAGGCATAAATGTCTTGTGGTTCACAAGGAAGGACTAAGGCTCCGCTTTCTCCACCTCTATCACTCCATGGTCCCCGGTTTTTACTCTCATCTAACAGAAGTGAAAGGGACTCTCAGTTTGAGCGAATCCTTGCCTGACTGGCTGTCACATTCACGTTATTTATGACAGATGTGACATTTCCATTCCCCTCCAGGATCGTTCCTAATCAGGAGAGAAAAATTCTGAAATGAATCATTTCTCTAGTTCTGCAGTCATCTCTTCTAATCTCAAACGACAGACTACGAAAGGGGGGGGGGCATGTTGGGTTATTCTCCCCTCCTTCCTCCCCTTGATGTTGCTATCAGAAAGAAAGCCAAACACCCGAAATGCCTCCAAACAGGTCGAGGAAGGAGAGGGTCGCAGACCATGCGCCTGAATCCTCAGGAGAAAGAAGAGCATTGGCAGAGCAGCCGTTTCCAGAAGCATCTGTTTGTACTCGGGAGGCTCCTGGCGCATGGACGACGTGGCAAAACAATTTGACACACCAGCAAGTGTCAAGGGTGGGGGGGGGGGGGGAGGCACAAAAGGAAAAGGGAAAGAGGAGGCAGCTCAGCCTTTCTCAAGCCATCTGTTTGACTACAGCATCTCAAAACAGGGCTACCTGGAGATACTGGGGAGCTGTCGTCCAAAACAGGGGATCATTCCCTCTTCACATCCAAACCTTCACCTCACTTTCTTTACTTAGCCAACCAGGCTATCTTGTGAAGAAGTGTCATGGGACCTGAGAAATATATTAAACTAGCTTAGGTACCCGGCAATGCCTGGGTAGGGTATTTTGTGACAATGCATATTAGGAATTCTTGTTTGATTTTCGGTTTTATGAATGGACCCATTCGAAAATGCATAACGATGTGGGTAAACTACAACTCCCAACATGGTGGGTCAATATCCCGCAAACCTTGCCAGTATTTAACGTTCTTCATGATGGATCTGTGTGCCAGGTTTGGTCTAGATCCATCATCAGTGGGGATCACAGGGCTAGCTTGGGGACCTGGCGATGCCCAGGTTATTAGAAAAAGGCATTGTTTGTCTGGGCTCCAAATTTAGTTTAGATCCATCATTGCCTGGATTTAGTGGATGGGGTTGAACTACAACTCCCATTTGCCAAGGTCAATCACCCCCAAACCCACCCTGTATTCACAGTTGGCTATGTTGGGTCTGTGTGCCAAGTTTGGTGCAGATCCACCATTGGTGGGGTTCAGAATGCTCTCTGGGTACAGGGTGAACTAAAACTCCCAAACAGGTGTGTCAGTTCCCCAAGCCCCTACATAATGTTCTGTTGATTATGTGGGGCCTGTATGCTAAGTGCGCTCTGGGTGCAGGGTGAAATAAAACTTCCAAGTCAAGGGAGGTGGGTCATGGGGGGGGGGGGGGTTGCGTGCCAAGTTTAGTCCAGGTCCATCATTTGTGGGGGTTGCAGTGGTCTCAGGAAGTGAGT